CATCCTTTTGGTTTTCTCTGAAGTGCTGCTAATTTAGTCACTTTTACTTGTACATTCAGAGTGTGGGCGGGTGTGTGTGGGGCAGTCATGTGGGAAAGTGTGGAATCTGAAGACCTTCCTTTCACCATAAGGGATATAAGGGATCCATCCTTCAGCAGCTCAGAGCACAATGTGTCAATTCCCTGGGGCACGAGAGAGTCTAAGTCAGTGTTTTTAAATTGTGGCTTTGACCCAATGGGTAGAAAACCAATTAGTGGGTTGCTACCAACAAAAAAAGAAAGTTAAGTGGATTATTACACATAGAATGTAGCACATGGTGATTATAAGTATTGTTTTTTATTTATTTCATGAACTTTTTCTGTGCAGATATTAATAAAATTCAGTTGAGTACATTCAAAGACCTGGTTGGCTCTTTTAAGGCGTTCCTGAGCGGCAGCATCCCCTCCAGCAGCTGGGAGGAGCCTCCAGGGCTTGTGTCAAGGGCAAGGTTTTTATAGGAAGAACGGTCCGGCAAGGGAGGTGTTGACAAAAGAAAAGAAAGGGTTGTTTTTGGGTCAGGGCAGGTCTTCTCTGGGTAGAGGAGGAGGTTTTATCCTGCAGATTGTCTCTTTTCTGTGGGGGATGGAGAGGCCCAGGTGCCAGGTGGCCTTCCTGGTGCTGACCAGCGAGTTCCAGGTGGTTGGCTGAGAGGATGTTTCTGGGAGTCTGTGGCTCCTCCTTTAACATAAGTGGGTACTAATTAAAAATATATTTCTTGCCCTGGCCAGTGTCGCTCAGTGGGTTGGGCATTGTCCCAGGCACCAGAAGGTTGCCGGTTTGATTCCGGGTCAGGCCACATGCTCAGGTTTCAGGTTCGGTCCTCGGTAGTGATGTGCAGGAGGCAGCTGGTCAGTGTGGATGTTACACTCTCATTGACGTTTCTGTCCCTCCCTCTTCCTTTCTCTCTAAAAATCAGTACAAATATTTAAAATACATATAAATATTTTTTCTTAGTGGGTGGTCACAGTCAAGACAAAATTGAGAAATAGTGTTCTAGATTCCAAAGAGTCTTTTCTAGATGCTAGTTAGGCCTCAGGGCCGATAGCCCTTCTCCAGAGGGCTCTGTGTGACTGTCTCTGGGAGATCATGCCTATGAAATCCCCCTTTTGGAGACTCACAGTGCACATCCATGAATTGTTGGGAAGTCTTGCAGTTAAATGTTTACCAAGTTTATCTGACCACACCCCTTCCCCCAGCCCTTTTAGCATTCTGAGGAGAGTGGGGGGGGGCGTGTCTCGTAACCCTTCCAGCATTCTGAGGAGAGTTTTTGAAAGAACGCACTTTGGGGAATGTTGCTTTTGTCCTGTCCTCACGGGAAAGCTTTGTTGATTCAGTCTGGAAACTTTTGCCCACAGGGCGCGGGTGCCTTTGCTGGGCTGGGCTGCAGGGGTGGGCACCCCGTGGCGGCGGTGTGGAGAGGGAAGGGCTTTCCCTGGGAGCCAGCTGGAGGCTGCTGCCCGCCAGGTGCAGTCTCCCTCTGAGAAGGGGGTTGTGGCCGTGACCAGGGTCCTGATTGCTGAAATGCTTTCTTTTTCCTTTTTCTGCAGATGTGGGACCTGGGAAAAGGCCTGAAGATCCCGCAGCTGTACCAGTCCGGGGTGGCTGTCCTGCTCCTCAGCGTGCTGTCCTCGGTGGGGCTGGCCGCCATGTGAAGAGCTCCGCCCCAGCTCCTCCTCCCCCAGATGATTAGTTCCCTGATTTCCTCAGCTCTCGCCTGTTCAGACCTGCGTGCTTGCACTGTCCCTGGAGCTCAGCTGTGAGAAGGGTCCCAGGGCCCCCTTGTTTCTAGATGGGGTGCTGCAGCAGCTCCCTCTTCCTGCCCCCGCTTGCAGCCTGCTCGGGGCCTAGGAGCCCTTATTCTCTCCATATCGGGCCTTGATTTGTGCTGAGGGTCAGCTCTTGGCTCCTCTTCCTGAGACGGTGGAAACAAAGCCAGCTCTGTGGCCTCTCCCATGCCGACTGGGAGTGGGGCTTTGGGTGCCACTGCCTGTGGGTTGTGGCTTCAAGGACAGTTCTGTTCACTGGTCAGACCCAGGGTCCTTAGCCCCCACATGGTGGGGGTTAGCCTGTTCGGCCAGAGGGAGAGAGAGAGGGTGAGTTGGCTTTTGAAGCAGGTGCTTTGGGGAGAAGATACATAGATTTTGATACAAGAGAAAAATCCAGAAAAGTATTGCTGAACCTGCTAAGGGTTATTTCTTTTCCTTGCAATTCCAGAAAAACAAGCTTCTAATTGTCATGTTTTCTAATCGACATTCATGTGACATCTTTTTCTGAAATTAATTAAAATACTAATTTTGTCTTTGACTCTTCCTTGAAATCTAGAGAAACCAAGAGAATGGCGGTGAGGAGGAGCCAGTTCCCCCCTTCCCTCTGGTCTCGGGCATTTCCGTCCCCCAATCTGACCTCTCTCAGGAGAGAAACAGTCTGTTTTGCAGCTGGGAAGGTTTTCAGGGACTCAGTACAAGCAGCAGAGATGTCCTGCCACGCAGGCACCTCCGAGAAGGAAGGAGTGCTGGGAGGACTCACTCCCTCCTGCTCGATGACGCCAGCTTGGGTCCGAAGCTCCTCTGCCAGGGATGGGACCTGCTGGGACGCTGGGTATTGGACGGAGAAGACATGAGAAGTCGTGGGCATAGAAGAGAGTCTTTATTGTAGCCCAAGTAGCTATGGCTAACAAGGAGCCATCTGACAAAACAGTTCTTCAAAGCAGTCCCAGAAGCAGGCAGCCGCACCCGGCTGGTGAACAATGCATCCTTCCCACAAAGCAGCCTCCCGCGTAGGAGCTAGTGTCTGAGCCAGCGCCTGGGGCTCACAGCACACCTGTTCCGCAAGCAGCCATTAGAGCCAGCTACCTGCTGGTCAGTCATACGGCTTATAGCAACTTAGACCAAAGAGGCTGCTCCAAATAGTGGCCTCAGATTCTAGACGAGCACGCTGCGCAGTGCACAGTGAGAGTGTCCTTGGGGTGCTCAGGAGGAAAATCCGGGTGTGGGAGTGGGTGCTGTGATTCCAACCGACTTCTGGCCATTTCTGGAGTGTAACCAACTTGGTCCTTGTACAAATGTGTACCCCAAGCCTTTGTCATGTTTCCCCCTTCCCCCAACCCTTCTGGTTCTTGGTGATAAGAGGCAGGAGGGAAAAATCAAAATCAGTACAAGAGTCAACAGTGGTGATTATTTTCCAAATTCACCTTTATTCCTGTCATTTCCCTGACGGGCTCTTACTTCACTCATCTCTAGATAGGCTTCCTCAGTGGGGCCCGCGGAGTCCCAGTTTGCGTTCCTGGCCCGGCTCGAGTAGAACCCACCCTGGTCCTACGTGCATGGGCTTCTGGGTGGGCACTTGGGAGCGCTGGCTGGGCTGAGGGGACCCGGAGTGTGACCTGCTGAGGGGTGTGCACTTGGGGGTTGATCTGGGGAACTGAGGTCTGTGGCTGGGGACCTTGGGATGATGGCTGGACTTGGTGCTTGCTGGACAGAGTTCTGGGGTTTCTTCTGACTGGCTGGGTCCTGGGGCTGTCGGGTGGAATAGAAGAGAGCCTGGTCAGGCCTAGTCATTCCCGATCCAGAGGATTCTAAGTGTCTCTCCCCACACCATGGGCCAAAGGTCGGGTTCCAAACAAGAAGAGTTAGAGCTGATACGCTGACCCTGGGGAGGTCAGATGGCCTTGTGCTTGGGGACAGATGTGCTTAGCTCAGCCCTTAAGCACCCAGGTGCTGAGGGACTACACGGCAAGACAGATGGTTAGAGGTCCCTCTGCTGGAGTAGCAGAGGCATAACATTGTGGGGTTGAAATTGAGACGCTGGGATTGGAGGTTAGGTGGGATGAGTAGGTACCTTGCCCAAGATTTCTGGACGAAGCCCATTGGAGGCCTTGAGTAAGTCAGGATTTTTCTGGATCCATTTGGTGAGGGAGGCAGCACCAGCAGCTGTACGGGACGTCAGGGTCACCCGAGCAGGGGGTATCTTCAGAGGCATCTCCCAGGTGCCCATGAAGGAACCCCAAGGACTTGCCTAAAAGGAAGAAGCAGGACTTCTCACTCCTGGCAGTGGCAGACCCTGTATCCATCTGGTTTCCATCCTTTTCCTTTGGGACTGGGTGGCAATGAAACAAGACTGGAAGTGAGCCCCTCCCCCCACTCAGTGACCCTGTTCCGTGGCCTGACCTCTGCTGGCTTCACTTCTGCATCCTCGGGCTGTTTGGCAGCGTGCCCACTGCAGAAGCATCACCGCCGTGGGCATCCGTTTTACACAGGTCACCCATAGTGCAGGGACCTGGTGCTAATACCCTGCCCTGTGGGTAGACTGGCTGGCAGCTTGGGAGCACTCGTGTTCCAGTGTGAATGAGACCGGACTTAACTTCCCAGGCAGCAGGAGACCGCACCTTCCCCAGTGCTCCAGTTGTTGGTAAGAATGGAGGCGAGTGTCTCACCTTGGAACGGGGCACTGAAGGCAGCAGATGGCCACGGTCGTTGGCGATAATCTGAGTGTAGCCTTCGTGGGAAGGAATGCTCTGGGGGAAAGTGGAAGAGAAGCGCTGGGAGAGTGGAGGGAGTATCAGGGCTTGAGTGAGGGCTGAGGGAGTGGAGGATGTGGGGAGAAGGCTGGTGGCAGTGAGTGACGTAGAAACACGTGGATACCTCTTTCGTTGGCTTGGCGAGACACCAGTTCTGCAGATACTTGGGTGAGAATGCTTTTTCGTACTGTGGAGAGAAAGGGGGGAAGCCCTCTGAGCTCCAAGCCCCGCCCGGAGATGACAGCCACAGAGTTGTTGGATTCGAGGATCAAAGGCCTGCACTGCCTGGGGGGCGGTAAGAGGGTGTAGTTTGTTTGGACTAAATGTGTGTTGTCCTAATGGAGCCTCTAGCCCAGTGGTTCTCCACCTTCCTAATGCCGTGACGCTTTAATACAGTTCCTCATGTTGTGGTGACCCCCAACCATAAAATTATTTTCATTGCTACTTCATAACTGTAATTTTGCTACTGTTAGGAATCGTAATGTAAATATCTGATATGCAGGATGTATTTTCATTGTTACAAATTGAACATAATTAAAGCATAGTGATTAATCACAAAAGCAATATGTAATTATATATGTGTTTTCCAATGGTCTTAAGCGACCCCTGTGAAAACGTCGGTCGACCCCCAAAGGGTTGAGAACCGCTGCTCTAGACACACGTGGCAGCTACTGAGCACTTGAAATGTGACAGTCCACACAGGTGCTTGTAAACAAAAAATACGCGGGATTTGAAGGCCTTGGTACAAAAAAGGGAACGTAAAACATTTGATTGTAACTTCTAAAATATTGATGATTAAATGTTGAAATAATATTTTGAATTTATTGGGCTAAATGAGATTATTAAAATTAACCATTTTAAAACATTTATGTAGCTACTAGGAAGTTAAACTTGCATTTGTGATTCGCACTATCTTTTTGTTAGACCACGCTTGTCTAGACCAGCGGTCAGCAAACGCCGTGAGCCAGATCCGCCCGGACTGCTTGAGAGAGCGGAGAATGGTTTTTATAGATGAACATTTGCAGTTGATTTGAGAAAAGGGAACACTAAGTTTGTATCCCAATCAAGCAAAATGTTTCTCCCAAAAGAATCCATTCTTTTCATTAGCGTTATAAACAATGGCACTCAGTTGTTACACTCTGAATTTTGTGTTTTCTGTTGTTATGTAATTGTACTTTCTCATTTTGCCACTTGGCCCACAAAGCCTAAAATGTTTAGTTTCTGGCCCTTTACAGAAAATTTGCTGACCGCTGGTTTAGACCTTACAAGTAACCCAGAGATGCCCTTTGCTGGTCCCTGGGCCCTCCCTACCCTGAGGAGCTGGGAAATTCTCCCTCACCCCCTCTCAGCCAGCCCGCCGTTCAGTGACCAGAATTCTAGGGGAGGTGTCAGTCCAAAGGTAGAATTTTGAAGGCAAAATTAAAAACGTTAAAGAGATGGAAAAAGAGAACTTACCTGGCTGGCACTGTAGTTAGTGGCCATGATCCTGCGACTTCCTGCTGTTTACATTGGTTGCCTGGCAACTGCAGAAGGCTGGCCTTGGAGACAACCTCCCAATTAGCAGGCAGGCACCTTGGGCTCCTTACTCACTTCTTTGGATGACACTACCCTGACCTTTTTTTCCTAGAAGCTAAGAGTATGTAAATGTGAGAAAATTAGCTGAATAGCAACGCTTTTTTTCTTTTTAAATATTTTTATTGATTTCAGAGAGGAAGAGAGATAGAAACATCAACAATGAGAGAATCATTGATTGGCTGCCTCCTGCACACCCCACACTGGGATCGAACCATGACCTCCTGTTTCCTAGGTCAATGCTCAACTGCTGAGCCACGCCAGATGGGCAGCAACCCTTTTCTTCTAGCATAACTGACCCCGCTTTTATCAACTTCCAGGTGGTCTTTGACTGGAGTGACAAGCCAGGGTCCCCCAGAGGTGTGTTCTTGGGCAGTGTGGTGCAGTGTAGCATGGACTTGAGAGCCAGACCTGGGGGTCGAGGCCTTACTTACCATGGGGACATAGGAGCTGTGTGGCACTGGGCACTAGACTCGCGTGGGGATGGCAGAGCCCTGCTTCACAGGGTGAAAGGCAAAGTGAGTACAGAACCAGATAATGCCATGGCACAGTCGGTAGTCAGCACTGTTGAGGCCTGTTTGTAGGGGCCACTACCTTATCTTCCCAGACACGATAACAAAGGAATAATGTTTTAAAAAGCAGCTGACTCAGATTTGTCCCTGGAAAGAAAAGCATATCTTGGCCGTGGTCCTCACGTGACTCCTTGTCCTCCTTCATTCCCTGGAGCCCCAGGTGTGCTGTGGGCTGGCTGAGGCAGGTGAGGAGCTGGTGCTGGACATGGAACAGGACGATGACAGAACCTAGTGCAGGCAGTCCTGTACAGCACACTGGCCTGCTTTGTTTCCTGGGAGGATCTAAGCCTCCCTCGATTGGAAATCGCTATTTATCTCCCCCATACACCATAAAACACAACTATTATTTTTTTTTAACATTTTTATTGATTTCAGAGAGGAAGGGCGAGGGAGAGAAAGATAGAAACATCAGTGATGAGAGAGAATCATTGATCTGCTGCCTCCTGCACACCCCACACAGGATCAAGCCCAAAACCCAGGCATGTGCCCTGACTGGGAATCGAACTGTGACCTCCTGGTTCATAGGTCGCCGCTCAACCATTGAGCCATGCCAGCCAGGCAAAGAAACTATTCTGGGTAACAGCACTTCCTGAGGAGTCCAGAGGACAAGCTGCAGGCAATCAGAGCAACTGAAGAGACATCAGTGCCTCTACCCTAGCGGTGACGGTTAACTTCTGTTTACCTGCATGGCTAAGAGTAAATGGTGGTTATAATGGAAGCAGTGTAGTATGTGGTAGCTATGTGCTTCCACAGTATACAGGGTGGCCATAACGTCTGGAAATAGATACTATCCTATCTAATAATAGACAAACATGGTAATTAACCGTACCTCTGACACGCTTCCCATTGGCTAATCAGGGTGATATGCAAATTAACTGCCAACCAAGATGGCGGCCAGCAGCCAGGCAGCTGAAGCGAACAGGAGGCTTGCTTGCTCCAGTGAAGGAGGAAGCCAAGGTTTCCCGCCTGCAGCTGCTGGGCTCTGAGCTTGCATTCTAAGCAACTATGTTGCAATTATAGAAGCTAAACAAACCCCATGCTTTCAGCAAGCTGGCGGAGCTGGAGTTGCAACAGTGTTTCAATTATAGAAGCCAAACAAAGCCAGATACCTGCTTTCAGCAGCCGAGGTCTCAGAGCTGGAGCCGAGCCTGAGAGCTAAAGCCGGCTCTCAGCTCCAGTGACAGCCATAGAAGGTAAATACATTCCAGAATAAAAAAAAAAAAGGAGAGGTTGGGAGCTTCAGTCACCCATCAGCCTGAAAATGGCCCTCAGCCCCTCACCCAGCCCCTCACCCAGACTGGCCAGGCACCCCAGTGGGGACCCCCCACCCTGAAGGGGGTGTGACCAGCTGCAAACAGCCATCATCCCCTCTTCCAGGCTGGCCAGGCACCCAAGCGGGACCCCCACCCTGATCCGGGACACCCTTCAGGGCAAACCAGCCAGCCCCCACCCGTGCACCAGGCCTCTATCCTATATAGTAAAAGGGTAATATGCCTCCCAGCACCGGGATCAGCAGAGCAGCGAGGCCTCCTAGCACTGGTATCAGCGGAGACTCGAGGCCTCCTGGCCCCTGGAGCAACGTGACAGGGGGCAGCGCCCAAACCCCCTGATCGCCCTGCGGCTCTGTGTGTGACAGGGGGCGGGGCCACAACCTCCCTATCCGCCCTGCTCTGTTCGTGACAGGGGAAGGTGCCCCAACCCCCTGATCGGCCCTGTTCTGTGCGTGACAAGGGGGAGCTCCCCAACCCCCTAATCGGCCTTGCTCTCTGATCAGCCCTGCTCTGTGCCTGATAGGGGGGAGCTCCCCAACCCCCTGATCGGCCCTGCTCTGTGTGTGACAGGCTGCGGCGCCCCAACCCCCCCATGGGCCCTGCTCTGTGTGTGACGGGGTGGAGCCGCAACCTCCCCATCGGCCCTGCTCTGTGTGTGACGGGGGGCGGCGCCACAACCCCCTGATCGGCCCTGCTCTGTGTGTGACAGGGGGCGGTGCCCCAACTCCCCTATCGGCCCTACTCTGTGTGTGACAGGGGGGAGCTCCCCAACCCCCTGATCGGCCCTGCTATGTGCGTGACAGGGGGGAGCTCCCCAACCCCCTGATCGGCCATGCTCTGTGCGTGACAGGGGGCAGTGCCCCAACCCCCTGATCGGCCCTGTTCTGTGCGTGACAAGGGGGAGCTCCCCAACCCCCTGATCGGCCCTGCTCTGTGCGTGACAGGGGGCAGTGCCCCAACCCCCTGATCGGCCTTGCTCTGTGCATGACAGGGGGTGGCGCCGCAACCTCCCCATCAACCCTGCCTTGAGTGTGACAGGGGGTGGCGCCCCAACCCCCCAATCGGCCCTGCTCTGAGCCCGACCAGGGGCTGCACCTAGGAATTGGGCCTGCCCTCTGCCACCCAGGAGCGGGCCTAAGCCAGCAGGTCGTTATCTCCCGAGGGGTCCCAGACTGTGAGAGGGCACAAGTGGGGCTGAGGGACACCCCCCCGCCAGTGCATAAATTTTTGTGCACCAGGCCTCTAGTCCTATCTAATAATCAACAAACATGGTAATTAACCGTACCTCCGACACGCTTCCCATTGGCTAATCAGGGTGATATGCAAATTAACTGCCAACCAAGATGGCGGCCAGCAGCCAGGCAGCTGAAGCGAACAGGAGGCTTGCTTGCTCCAGTGATGGAGGAAGCCAAGTTTTCCCGCCTGCCGCCGCCCAGCTCTGAGCTGCACTCTAAGCAACTATGTTGCAATTATAGAAGCTAAACAATCCCCAGAAACCTGCTTTCAGCCAGCCGGGCCTCAGAGCTGGAGTTGCAACAGTGTTTCAATTATAGAAGCTAAACAAACCCCAGATACCTGCTTTCAGCAGCCGAGGTCTCAGAGCTGGAGCCGAGCCTGAGAGCTAAAGCCGGCTCTCAGCTCCAGTGACAGCCATAGAAGGTAAATAAATCCCAGAATAAAAAAAGAAAAAAGAAAAAAAGGAGAGGTTGGGAGCTTCAGTCACCCGCCAGCCTGAAAACGGCCCTCAGCCCCTCACCCAGACTGGCCAGGCACCCCAGTGGGGACCCCCACCCTGAAGGGAGTGTGACCAGCCTGCAAACAGCCATCATCCCCTCATCCAGGCTGGCCAGGCACCCAAGCGGGACCCCCACCCTGATCTGGGACACCCTTCAGGGCAAACCAGCCGGCCCCCACCCGTGCACCAGGCCTCTATCCTATATAGTAAAAGGGTAATATGCAAACTGACCCTAACAGCAGAAGGACTGGGAATGACTGGTCACTATGACACACACTGACCACCAGGGGGCAGACGCTCAATGCAGGAGCTGCCCTCTGGTGGTCAGGTCGCTCTCACATGGGAGGAGCTCTGCTCAGCCACAAGCCAGGCTGATGGCTGCCAGTACAGTGGTGGTGGTGGGAGCCTCTCCTGCCTCCTCAGCAGCGCTAAGGATGTCCGACTGCAGTTTAGGCCTGCTCCCCGCTGGCAAGTGGACATCCCCAGAGGGCTGCCGGGCTGCCAGAGGGATGTCTGATTGCCATCTTAGGCCCAGTCCCCCGGGGAGCGGGCCTAAGCCAGCAGGTGGTCATCCCCTGAGGGGTCCCAGAGCTGCAAGAGGGCACAGGCCAGGCTGAGGGACCCCCCATGAGTGCACAAATTTTTGTGCACTGGGCCTCTAGTCCTATATAATAAAAGGCTAATATGCAAATCGACTGAACAGCAGAATGACCGGTTGCTATGATGTGCACTGACCACCAAGGGGCAGACGCTCAATGCAGGAGCTGCCCCCTGGTGGTCAGTGCACTCCCACAGAAAGAGTGCCTCTCAGCCAGAAGCCCTGAGCCAGGCTCACAGCTGGTGAGTCCAGTGGCAGTGGCGGGAGCCTCTCCTGTCTCCTTGGCAATGCTAAGGATGTCCGACTGCCAGCTTAGGCCCACTCCCTTCTAGCTCTCTATCCCTCTCCCTTCCTCTCAGTTGGAATCCCTCAGGGGCTCCCAGATTGCAAGAGGGCACAGGCTGGGCTGAGGGACCCTCCTGAGTGCTTGAATTTTGTGCACCAGGACTCTAGTTATTTATAATGTACTGAAATATATAAACAAACCATTCAAATGTATTCATTTATATTTCCGAATTTCTTGGCAACCTTGTACACATAGTACGGCTATAAATGAGGAGAGGTTAAGGAGAGTATGTAAGAAATAGAAAAGGCCCTGATTGTCATCCACAGTTTTGGAAATAAAACTTAGGGGTGAGGGAAGAGTAAAAGGAAGGGTAAAGAGTACCCGAGAATTTCAGTGTTGTGCGGTGTGGGGAACCTAGTCCTCCTGGGTTTCTCATTACATTGACACACAGCGTCTGACACCAGGCCATCCCGTGACACCAGCTGGTGTTCCACCATTTAACTCAGTTCTGACACCATTCACCTGGAGAGAGCTCAGGCCCACAGGTTAAGGGCTCAGCCAATAAGTCCGCCCCCACTTCAGAGGTCATTCAAGTCCAGGCTGTCACCTGTGCTTCTGACCCATCCACTGTACGTCAGAGGTTCCCATGACCCTCCTCAGGTCCACCTCATTTGCTTGGGCAGCTCACAAGGTTTAGGCAAGCACTCCACTTACTGTTTACCAGCTCATTGTAAAAGGGCATGATATCCCTACCCGGTTTGGCTCAATGGATAGAGCGTTGGCGAGTGGATGCACAGGTCCTGGGTTTGATTCTGGTCAGGGCACATGCCCGGATAGTGAACTCGATCCCTAGTGTGGAGCATGCAGGAGGCAGCGGATCAATGATTCTCTCTCATTGATGTTTCTCCCTCTCCCTTCCTCTCTGAAGTATGTATTTTTTAAAAAAAATATACTTTATTGCCCTGACTGGTTTGGCTCAGTGGATGGAGCGTCGACCTGCACACTGAAGGGTCCCAGGTTCAATTCCGGTCAAGGGCATGTGCCTTGGTTGCGGGCACATCCCCAGTGGGGGGCGTGCAGGAGGCAGCTGATCAATGTTTCTCTCTCATTGATGTTTCTGGCACTCTATCCCTCTCCCTTCCTCTCTGTAAAAGATCAATAAATATATATATTGAGAGTTAGAATCATCGATCAGCTGCCTCCTGCATACTCCCCACTGGGGATGTGCCCGCAACCAAGGCACATGACCTTGACCGGAATTGAACCTGGTACTCTTCAGTCCACAGGCCGACACTGAGCCAAACTGGATAGGGCTGAAATATGTATTTTTTTTAAAGTTACATCTTTATTGTTCAGATTATTACAGTTGTTCCTCTTTTTTCCCCCCATAGCTCCCCTCCATACAGTTCCCCTCCCACCCTCCGCCCTCACTCCCCACCCACTGTCCTCATCCATAGGTGCACGATTTTTGTCCAGAATCTTCCCGCATCCCCCACACCCCTTTCCCCCCCAAGAATAGTCAGTCCA